TTAATATCACGGTTAGACTGTAATAACTCCTCATGAACGGAAGGGGCTGCTGAGCTTTCCGGCATTATGATATGTGGTATGCGAACATTGAAAGCACGTGACGGCGCCTAGGATTGAAGAGGAGAATTACCACCTCTTCCAATAGAGGGCTCTGAATGGTGAGTTGGCATATCCTGTGATTCCATCTGCTTGTACTGATATCCCCAACGGAGTCGTCAAAATGTAGGGGTTCTTTTTTACTAGGTAATAAAACAGCAATAAAATAGAGATATCAAGAATACAAATACGAAGGAAAATAGAAGAGATGCTCAGTGCAGAAGGAGGAGAAGAATACCTACTATCAAGATCAAGATGGTGGTAGGGCGAGTATATAATATTTCATAACAGCTTTTCTTCCTTTCGGGGGTTGGTTCTTTCTTCATAGGACAGTGCCATTTATAGATCTGGATTCCATTAGTTATTATCCAATGGTTCCTTCTATACGTGGTCCCTCGCATGTATCACCCCCAACCTGGATTACGTGAGTAATCCTGAAGATTTAGGGGTCTGAAGGGTCTGATCCTTTCCTGGAGCCTTATACCATGTTGCCATGTCACTTCTCCTCTAATCAGGGGCATTAAATGTTGCTTGGCCGTTGGTTGGTCAAGCCTGACATAGTATTAATTGTGATTTTAAGGTTTGCTGTCGCGACGTGTATAATCCTATCATCTTGTAACTTGGGCCTTGCCGAGAGCGAAGGCACCTCTTGACTTTTCATCCACTAATCCAAGATCCTCCTAAGTTTTCCAAACATGGATTCCTATAACACGAAGATCCTACCTTCATCTCGTGCTAAGGAGCTCCAATCTATTAAAACAACATCGTCTAGCGTAACACCAGGATTTGGGATATTCGAGAGTCGGTCTCTTGAGGCTTGATGGGCTTGGTGTGGTGCCAGGGCTTGGGATGCTCGAGGATCAGCTTCTCGAGGCTTATTGGGTCTGGAGCGATACCAGGGCTTAGAGTGCTCGAGATTTGATTTTTCGAGACTTGATGGGCCTTGAGCAATGCTAGGGCTTAGGGTGCTCGAGAATAGATCTTTCGAGGCTTGAGGGCCTGGAGAGATGCCAGGGCTTAGAGTGCTCGAGACTTGATCCTTCAAGACTTGAGGGCCTGGAGCGATGCCAGGGCTTAGAGTGCTCGAGACTTGATCTTTCGAGGCTTGAAGGCCTGGAGCGATGCCAGGGCTTAGAGTGCTCGAGACTTGATCTTTCGAGGCTTGAGGGCCTGGAGCGATACCAGGGCTTAGAGTACTCGAGACTTGATCTTTCGAGGCTTGAGGGCCTGGAGCGATGCCAGGGCTTAGAGTGCTCGAGATTTGATCTTTCAAGGCTTGAGGACTTGGAGCGATGCCAGGGCTTAGAGTGCTCGAGATTTGTTCTTTCGAGGCTTTTGACTTTTCAACTTGCCACAGAGGATTTGGCTAGGGTTGTATTGAATTGTCAACATGCCATATCAGCGTCTAATGAGTGACACCCACAAACTGAAACAACGGTGATGGTAACGGCGACACAACAGAGCTCTGGTGACAATGAAGCAACAGAGCTCAAAGACTTGCACGATTTTATGTTGACCAAAGTTGAGTTCGTGATATTGAAGCCTTTGTCATTGTTGTGGAGTGCCGTACCATCGTCGCAACTGTAACGTAGCAGTGAAGTGTCGCACCGCCGTTGCCGTTGCCCGAGCTCGCCGATGAGTGCAGTTTGATTGTTGTTGTTTTAGATATCACCGAATTTAACCGTAAACTGAGTTTGGTTTCATCGACACTAAGAGCTCGTTGTTGCTTTGTCGTCGTTTGGAAGTACGCTGATATGAACTGGGTTTCGTTACTTGGAGCTTCACCGAAAAGGATGGAAGCTTATGTTCGAAGCTTGAGAAAGATGGATTCTAGTTTCGCAGAGGTGGGTCGAAGACGTCACTGAAGCTTATACATGGATGATCGTGAAGCTTCTAAACAAACTCTCGCCGAAACTGGATCCTGCCATTCGTCGCAGCCGATGTGGGTCTTGATGCGCCGGTGATGAACTGGGTCTGCATGCATGAAGTGTCCTAGAGCTCGCTATCGTCGCCGGAGATACACGCCGATATACTATTCGTCGTCGCCGGAGATGAACTGAAGCACACTGGATGTATACATTACAACCTCGTTGCTGAGTGTTTGATGGAGCATAATGATGTTGCTTACTGGGTCTGTCTTAAGCTTCTCGAGATTTTTGTTTATCACTGTAAGTTGGTCTAAACAGAAAGAATCTCACCGGAGATGAAGCTCGCTATCGTCAGAACTAATGGAAGTTGTTCTTCAGAGACTGAGCATCAACTACCCAACAGTAATGACTAAGCTTTGTATAAAGCCAAACTAAAGTCAACAGTTCTCGTAACTCACCGAAACAGTCTCACAGCTCACTGAACTATATCTCAACGAAATGGGTCTGCTCGTTTAATGAAACGTTGCTGGAGAGGAGTGCACCAGACAGGCCGAACTCGTTAGTTTTAATGGACACTTAAACTGGGTACGCCGTCATCGAAGTGGGTCTTGACACTTGGTGTTCTTGTTCACCGTCGGGTCTACAACTCGTCGGAGATGATAGGTCACTACAGTTATCCAGTCTTCCCTTCCCTCTCTACGACGGCAACCACCAAGACAAAGAAGAAGAAGGCCAAAACGATTTGAAGAAGAAGAAGGGCCAAACCCTTTTTAGTCATTTCACAAAATATTATTTTATTTATATATATATATATATATATTATATAAAATGTGTTGTTAGGGATATTTTAGTTCAATTATATTATAAATGTGTACGGACCTGTTTGCACAAATATCATAATTTGTACTGTTGCACTGGACGCTTTATAAAAGGAATAATGCTAATTTTGACGACTACCATTCACCCCAAAAAAAAAAACCGACAGTGCGTGTCAATACTGATTGATCCAACTGGCGCACAGGTACCCTTCCCCTTTCTTCGTCTAAGCATTACTCTCTCATCTATCTCTTTCAGTCCTCTCATCTCTCTGCGAAGAATCGACGATGGTCTTCAGCAGTGCGGTTCACCGGATTCACCGTCCGCCCAGACTTTCATCGATCACCAGATTCACCATCAGGCCAGACTCTCCTCGATCACCGGATTCACCGACGTCAATAGCGATTTCGACGGGCCGTACTTCGCGTTCATGTCCGACGCGTTGGCGATCGTGGTGGATTGGTCTTGGTTGCTGGAGACGTCGTCGGTGAAGACGTTCGTCTTGATGTTCTCAAATCTCTCTATCAATAACCAGTTTCTCAGTTCTGGCTCGACATCGTGGGTTTTTCTGACTTGGCATCGTGGGTTTCATCATCAGTTCTGGATCGTCACCGGCGACTGCGCAATACCTCTCCGGTCTCACCGGTTCCACCCATCGGCCGTAACCACCATTACTAAGCGACCACCTGTTGAGTCACTCACTACCGTCGCCACCACCTACCCCATCGGCAAACCACCACCACCATCAATGTTATCAATGTTTTCTCTGTATCATGAATGTGACCTTGAAAATCAAATCAGAACCCAAAAGACTCATCAGCAATATTACCAAACCTATCTCTACATTGATATATATATATATATATGCTTGCCTCGATGGATTTTCAGGCCGTTTTGACGGGCAGTACTTCGCCGTTTTGACGGGCAGTACTTCTCCTTCATGCCAGAGTTTTATATTTTAGTTTAATTAGACAGTCATTTGAAAACGTGGCCGGCCATATAGGTTTGTCGGTGTTTTGTCGGTATTTTCAAGTCGGCCAAAATAGCATTACTCTTATATAAGCACTTCATTTAATTTAAAAAGATCTCTTAATCAATTTTGATTGGTTATCCCCTTGAAAATGAAGACTTTGACTTGCACAAAGAAGCAAACTGCTGTTGACAGGGACAAGAATGGAGACTCTCTGTGATTTTTGGAGTCTCCATCTGAACTGTACAATGCACCAAGTATTCTCCTCTCTTTTGTTCCCTATTACGTTTCCGGACAGATACAAATCTGAAAATCTTGGTCTGCCTTGGCAAGGGTGTAAAGGCAACTTAGGCAACCTTGGAAATGGTCCGGATCCGGAAATGGTCCAACAAGAGATCTGGGACCCTATATTGACTATGGTCTCTGGCGGCTGGTTCGATGTATAAGATGGATCGGCGTTTATAGTGTCGCCGTCACCGAGCTTGTTTCCTTTGCTCGTTCTCTAGATCTGATTTTTCCGTCATTTTTTCTTGTGTTTCTTACGTATACATACCTATCAGTGTATATGTGTATATAATATGTATGAGTGAGTACAAAATTAAGAGGTTTGTGTGATTCTTCTTCTAACCTGCTGCATTTTTGGGAGAGTAACGGAGGCCATGAGTTGCGGTTGGTTGCGATGGAGGTGGGCAATGGTGGTTGTGGTGTGTGGCTCGAGGCTACGGTTGTGTGGTGTAGTTTAGCAGGTGGGCTTCAACAAAGTAAAATGAAATAAAAAGCGTGAAAACAGATGTGTTGTGGGTTTTTTTGTCAGTTTATTAAAACGGTCAAGGCTATTATTGCCTTTTTATACCATACAAGGGTAATTTCACCAACTTATTGAATTCTCTAACGAAAAGGGTGTCACACGTAAAACCTTATAAACCTTAAATGCAGGGAATTGATTATTGGAATAGGATGGAATTGGAGGAGACTTCAGTGGAAAATCAAAGAAATGGCAAATGGATCCATAAAATCATCAAATCAATTACGCGTAACAAAAGAAAGCAAACAAACGGTAGCATGAGAAGAGAGTCAACAGCAATATCAGTCCAGTTAGGATTCTTTCTAAAGAATTTGCCCAACTTTGAAGTTAGTGTAATTTACCAAAACAAATACACCTTTTTTTTTTTTTTTGGCAATAAGACAAGCCACAAGGGCACTTACAGAAATGAACACAACAAACAAATACACACTAATCACATTCTGAATGGAAAAAGAACACACAAATATAATATTATTACAATCATTCTTAACTGAACATTGGAACATATGCTCCACAGAAGGCAAAAACAAGTGCCATAGGAAATCAAGTTCCAATTTTTACATTAACATATAATCATCCACCCCCATAATTCAACAAAAACAGACACACTAATCCAACACACATTAAAAAAGGAAAACATCATATTGAACATTAGGTAAAGACTTAAAAACCCATACACACAAACTGTTCCACATATCCAAATTACCTAATTTGGTGGCTATAGCCCGCTTCTAAATACACATGGCCTGCATGTACCATTAGAATTTAGAGGCAAGACACATAAAAGGAAAACATCAAATCGGACACCAAGGAAAAGACTATTAAAAACCCATACACAAACTGTTCCACAGATAGCATGCCTCTAAATACACGCGGCCTTCATGTACCATGAGAATTTAGAGGCAACACCACAAGAAACCTATTAGATTCACGCACAAACTCCTTTACTATTGGCTACAGGAAAGGAGAACTGCGTTGTGAATGCAGAATCGACTTCACTATTGTGAATAGAGAAGAAGATCCAGAAGCCAACTTGAGACTTTTCAGATGAATCTCCTTCACTATTGTGAATAGAGAAGAAGATCCAGAAGCCAACTTGAGACTTTTCAGATGAATCTCCTTCACTATTGTGAATAGAGAAGAAGATCCAGAAGCCAACTTGAGACATTTCAGATGAAAAACATGGTGTCCTCGAGATCACCATGCACCTTGTACTTCTTTTCATCAAATGAAGCCTCTGCAGGAAACAACTCCTCCACCACCTCTTGGTACAGACGTCCCCTGAATGCAACAAGATCAGCATAGTACACAGGCGTGACAAGCGAGACTGGTTTGGTGCAACGAGCACAGGTGAAGCACAAATGATATATGAGCTCCTGCACCTGATCAGAAGTGAAGTTATGCTGGTCGTAGAGGACATAATAATGTGTGCACTTGCTTGTTCCAATGCTCCCATAATGGCTGCAAAGATAAAAATCAAACTCAAATGGGTGAACTACTACAGTGTCCACAACTGTTCCTGGATTCACATTCCCCTTGGAACCTCCATCCCTATGAGTCTTGGGAAACAGACGAGTTTGGTGTCGCTTCTGGGCCACAACAAGAGTGATTGTTGGCCGGTACATTTCCCCGTACTTTGTCTCAATCGCCTTCTTCAGATCAAGTAACTCCTCATTGAGAACCATGTCAAATTGGCCCTCACTTACTCCATCTCGGAAGACAACAATTTTTTGCGGTTTCACTTTGTTGAACTGAGCATAAGAATCGATAAGATCGAGACACATGCTCCCAAATTTCAGAATCTTCTCAATGCGAGGATCTTGAGGCCATATCCGTGCAGCATAGCGATTTAGAGCAGGCCAGTTAACTGTGGCAACAACTGCTGCAATTGATGGAGACGGACGAGCTGAATTCCATGAACCTGTAGGGTGATTGACATCAGCCCCCACAAACATGACATGGCCTCCACCCTCAAAATGGGGTAGCCTTTCAAGTTCTATGTTGCTGCCTCCAAGCTTTGCATTAATCTTAAGAGCAAGATTGGCAAGATAAGCATCATTGCCCTTATTCACAGGGGTGGCCAAGCAACACTGACTCACAATCCCCATTTCAATATCAGAGATCCATTTGATATAGTTGTGGCCGAGACCTTTTTCTTTTTTAGTCGTCACACAGACAACAATTTGTAACCGATCCCTGCATTTCCCACTAGCCTCCTTAATTACACCAGCAAAGATTTTGCGTACCATATTAACATTAGATAATGCCCTCATTTGAGTGAAACGACAGACAAGAGGATCCTCCATGCGAAGCCCTAATTTTCTGCACTGATTCTTAATATTCCGAATGAACTGATCGGAAATCAGTTTGAAACGACCATCAGATGAGCTAAAATCGATTAAGGCCCACCGAACCACCGGTATGGCATCTACTAAACATTTCCCAACAAGGCGCCACTCACATTTATACTTGTCAACTCTGATTACATCCACATTGCCGTTGGGAGCACCTACCTTCAACTTAGGTGGCTCAATTACACGGCCTGTCACTGTTGTCATTTTCGTATCCAATTGAATTCCAAAATTTTGAGTGATATCTCCTCTGCAATAAATGAGTTAATAAAAACAGTTATATTCAAGCAAAATAAAAGGCACGGTTAAACACAAGTCAAATGAAATGAGCAATTTCATCCAATAAAAAATTACATGAAATTCTTTGCTGACTGATCAGTATGACATATACTAAATTCAAGTTTGCATGCGTGTGTCTTAAATGGTCATGATTAATTCCAAATGGTAAGATTTATGTTCTGTGACTTCAGGGTTCATTAGCATAGTTAAAGTTCAATCTTAAAAATCTCTATTTTAACGAGTGCCCAAATTAAAACTGCGGAACAGTTTCATAAGTTAAAAACAATCGGGGCTAACACTCGAACTTTCCAAAATTTCACCTGACAGACATATAAATATCGGAGCACAATAATTGGATCAAGCAAGAAAAAGTAGTATTGTAATTATAAAATTTGAAAATAAAAAGGAAAAAGAAAAAGGGCAAAGCTTCATGATGTGAAGGACAAAGAAAGATGAATCACTTATATAATAAATGGATGTAACCACCCAAAAAAAAAATAGTTTTGGTCATAATATATCTTATAAAATAACAACCAAGAATTATTAATTCGATGTAACATGCAAATCAAGAGCTCATCACCAAAATAATTGAGCATGGAGGATCAAGTTATTTTAGTTCCATGAGTGAAACCAATCCTCCTGCTGCCCTAACAACTTTAAGGTTCACCCATCCAACCAATTTGATCACACAAGATATGAGCGACCAAGGGATGTTTTTAAACAACACAACCACACATAATATTATGAAAATTAGAGGCTTAAGTAATATTACGTACCTATCCACAACCTGCACCATGTCATAGATCACCTTCTTTCTGTCCTCTGGCGGAACTAATGACATCTTCTTTAATAGCTTGGCTGTATTTCCATCCAAATGCTCTTGCGGGTACTTTTGCCCCTCAACCAATACACAGAATTCCATTGGCACATAGTTTTTCCAGTTATTTTTCCCCAAATCCAAGCACGGAATATCATTGTACATAATTTCCTTGTCATATTTCTCCCTGTAATAATCGACAAGGCCAACTTTCCTTGGGGGTACATTGCCCTCAGGATCCTCAATGTCAAATGAAAGATCTTGTGTGTTTTGATCAGATAATCCTGCAATAGTGTATTTGTGATTGGTGACACGGTGAGTTATTGTAACTTTCAATCCTTTCAATGCAGTGATTACTTCTCTGCTCAACATTCTCACATCATGAACTTCAAAGTGCTCCTTGAGAAAGTCTATAACTGGCAGGGGCTTGTGGAAAGGCAAAACTGAGTAGTCCAAACACAAGGCTGGACCCTGGTAAGTGGGCTTCACACTTTGCTGGAAGCCTTTAGCAGCTGTAATGCCATATCTAAGATTATCCTCATGATTGAATTCTTTGGTATAAAAGCTTCGACCAATACAAATCATATGCTTAGATGGATCTTCCTTCATTACTACATCCACCCCTTGTAGTACATCACGGGGGTTGATTTGGAGATTCCCACTTATGTAGTCCTCCAGCTTGCTGAACTCCAACTCATTTACAAGCTTTATACAAATTATATATGAACGGGTCCTTGTGCCTTCACCGTCAGATAACTCCACCTTGAATGTTCCAATAGGCAGTAGAACTGCACTGAAAATGTTCTTTTCACCATCATAAGCAATCTTCAACATAGGAAACCGGGTGGGATCATCAGAGAATAGTTTGTTGATGATCATTCGCAGATCAGATTTTGGTATCCTTCCAGGCCTACCTCTAGGAGATACCTCTGGCCTGATATCCACATCATAGTGCATTATGGTGCTGTTTGGATCACACTCGATACGAAAATGGTTAACAGCAAGACTGGCAGTCGAGATGGCATTACTGCCCCCCCTGTCGGGTCGTTTTATGGGCACCAGTTTTCCGTTAGTATTTTCAGGAAGAGATGATGGAGGCAGCTGCTCTGAAATCTTCAATGACTGTATGTCTCGAATAACAGAATCTGTGAAATGAGATTTGATCTTCTTTTTAGGGCCTGATGATAATGAATTAAATCAAATACTAAGCAATCTCAGTCATTGGAGTGGGTCCTGCTTTGGGCCCCATGTGATCTAACATCTGTGCTCGCAGAGTTGTGACTGTACTTAGCACAGCTCATAAATTAATTGATAATTCAACATCTTGCCATTCGGAGAACTCTCTCCGGAAAGGGATGTTAGTATAACCTATTTCTTGAACTAAATTATCCTTCTAATTTCAATAAAAAACAAACCATGTAATTAGACAAGACATTCTGCTATACAGAAGAGCTTATGCAACAAAAGTAATATGTGAGAAATCATTTCTTGAAAACTTCAATCCTAAATGTTTAACCAAAGACAGACTCAACTCTCTAATCAAAAGCATGTCTTTAAGAGAACATTTCTTGTAAACTTCAATTATATATATTACACTAAAGACAAACTTAACTCTCTAATCAATTGGTCATCATTAAGGTCTTCCCAACAATAGATTGAATACGGTGAAGAATATAAACTAAAAACTTTGTTCCCAATTTACCAAGCAATTTCCCCTTAATTCAATCCTAAAAAGATATAGATGCTCATTCTCATAAATTTATGAGATTAACCAAGTTAGAAGAGCATAACCATCAATTTGGAGAAAACAATTTACAATTACATTTTGCATGGTTCTTTCCTTCAACAACTTCCAAAAAAACGTTCAAACCGTCCAACATATTCCACAAAAAATACCCAAAGACCAAAAACCATAATTAAATCCACCCCTAATTACATTTCAATTATGGAAACAAGCAAAAATAAAACTAAGTTGTGATGAGTTCAAAAAATTCCTTTTGTTTAACGTCAAAAAACCATCATGCACATTTAGTACTAACATACATGAATATAAATTTATATATAACAAAGATATAAAGCAACTTCAAAGCTGATTAAGTAGTAACACATGAAATGACACAATTTGTTTACTATGAATTATATTTGCTGCAAAAATTAATTCAATTTAACTACATATTGGATTGCCCAAAATCAACCACTGAAAAATGAAAATTTTTTCTGAAAAGAAATACAGCTAAAGCAACAAGAGTATCAAATAAACACTTAAAACTTTTTCCGCGTCTGCTGATAATCAAAATTGGATAATCAGAGAGAGGGTTGGCCCCAAACAACAGCTTATTGGAATAGAATAATAAAACAGCATAGAAGAAAATCCTATCCCAAGTTCGGAATTCCCATTCCAACATAAATAAATAACTACTAAGGAACTCCAAAAACAAAACTCTCAATCACTACACTCCAATCCAGAATTAATAGTTAATATAGAATTACTTCGGACAACCACAAAAAAATTTAAACATTTCTCAAAGGTGTAGCAAGTTTATAGATCATCCTGCACATTATGTATGTGCGTGTGTAATTCTTGAGCACATAAAACACATCCGATTACAAAACAATCTGATAACTAAATGAAAACAGGACTATATTTCATCCATGATCACAGATTCCTACCCAATTACATAGACTAATCAACCAGATTAAAACAAATCAAACATGAAATCAACTCTAAAATAAAAATAATTAAATATTATACAAAGAGACACAAGTAAACGCGTATATATAGGAAGTAGAAACAAAGTAGCAAAGCGCCATACCAGGATGAGGTTTAGGATCAGGAGTCGTCCTGTCCGAGTGTTGAGGAAAGAGAGCCGTGCGAGCATTAACTCCCCACACTCCTCCAACTCTCGCCGTGGAGCCTTCGCCTAGCTCCGGTCTCCTTGTGGGTCCCACAGACTGACCCGGCGCTGGCCCGTAGGCCCCACCTTGGCGATAATTTGCTGGTTGCTGGTTGGTGGCGGAGTAGGTGGCACCCCTACCCATACCCATACCCATACCCGTCCCTCTGCCTCGGCCTCCACCCTGATGTTGGTTGTTTCCCCCTCTACCACCACCGCCGCCGCCGCGACCTCGACCGCGACCACCACCACCTCCTCTGCTGTAGTTGTTGCTTCTCTCCATGAATAACTAAGCTAATTAACGATAATGAAACCTTCAGTCTTAATTTCTCTCTCTAGGACTTGTGATGTGTCTGAGGACTTAGAGTGGTGTTATATAGGAGGTGGTGGGAGTGAAATGACGATCTGACCATACTTGGTCACTAAGTTTTCAACAGTTCACCCCATTGACGTCAAGTCAACTGAGAGTGCTTTCTTTGTTTAGGCATAAGGAAAGTGTATCGTAAGTACCATCCGGATAAAAAAAATGAAAGTGTATCGTAAGTTCGTAACTAACCAAGGATGGGAAGAAATTTTCAAAAGAAAAAAGACTAAAAAGTTATAAGTTGTTTGGTCGGTTCCTAAAAGTTAAAAGTTATGTTCAAGGATTTTTCCTAAGTTCGAGTCCTTGTGAGCAATTTGTTTACCTTCTAGAAAATTCCACAACTAATAATTACAAGTATTTCTTCTAAGTTCAAGTCCTTGTGAGCAATTTGTTTACGGTCTAAAAAATTAAGTTCAAGTACTTCTTCTAAGTTCGAGCCCTTGTGACAAATTTTTTTACGTTCTAGAAATTTCCGAGACCTTGTGAGCAATTTTTTTACCTTGTAGGAAACTCCGTCAACCATACTACAAGTTGAAATGGAAAAACTTTGTTGCACTGTCCCATTTTTGGTTAATTACTCCCGCCATTGCAACACTGTTTATAGTTACAAAACTAATCTTTCCATAAAATTATTTTTGAACCAAAAAAAAAAAAAAAAAAACAAAAAACAAAACATGTTCAGTTTTGGCTAGCGAGGCCTAAGTATTGTCTACTTTATAATGTAAATTATTAAAATTTCTTAAAAATAATTATTTTTTAAAAAAATGCATTATTAAAATTTCTTAAAAATAATTTTTTTAAAAAAAATGCATTTAATATGTAAAATATCAATAACAACTCCAAACATAACAATATCATATTGAATGTAGTTAGTTGATTCGCGTAGCTATTGGTTTATTAAAGATTTTTTAATTTTAAAATTTTCAAGTTTATCACTAATGGCACTTTAATAATTGCACATTACAAATAGACAAAGAAAGGGCATCTTACACTATTTTTTAGGGGAACTAAGGACAATTTGCAATATATATATTTTTTCTTTCATTAACAAGAAATCCATTTATCTTTAAGGACTTATAAAACCTCACCTTCCACTTTAAAAAATTTATTTAATTTAGAGAAGATTATTTTGTAACACCTCAACTTTTCGCAACACAAATACGTACGGTTCAGATTGTAACAAATTACTTATGATTGGTCTCCAAGTGTTGGTGCACATCAAGACACTTAGGAGTGAGAAGAAAATAAGTTCATAGATATTCAGAAAACTTTATTTTATGATTCTTCAATAATAATAAAGTTTTTATTCTGCAGCTCAATATTATGACATGATAAATGTGACATATATCCATTACGGTTGGTGTTATGCATTTTTATAATTTGAGAATAAAGTTTTCACCAACGTAACAAATAATATAGTGATCAATCAATTCAGAATCATCTAAAACTGCAGATGACAATGGCAAGAGACTCCCTCCACCTAAGTATCTTGATTGTCTGGGAGGCAACAAAGTCGGGCAGCTCTCTCCACCTTTTGTGTGACGTGTAGGGAAAAAGAATAACAAGAAAAGAAAAGAATAAAAACTTAAAAAGCATTTGTACCATAGTCCATAATTTAAATGCAAATCAATCAGTTAGATCGGAGAGATACAGAGAAAGAAAAAGGTCTGCCTCTTGTAGCTAAAGAAAAAGACTTTGACCCTTCATTCGGCAGTATTACGAAAAGTTGATCCAACTGAGTTGGGTGCTAGCTCTTTGTATCAGAGGTAAGTCACATTCATGCTATTGATTGCACCATCGCGTGAGAGCGAACTTAGATGAGAATTCGTTGTTTTTTATTTTTTCAAAAAATCATTTCAAAATTTACCCAAAACACTTAGATATCATTTCAAAACTCAATGTTAAAACTATTATATATATCAATCTGACTAAACATGCATATCTCAACTTATATCCATCAACATTCACAACCAGCCATAGCTATAGTGTTAGAATTTATATGGTCTGACATACTAAATTTCTATTTAAATTATAGTGACATATCTTTTTGATATATCTGAAATATTTATAATATATATAATTGGTGAATTCAATATATTATGTTTCGATTTATTATGAAATTGATAGTGTCTACTTGATTACAAGAAATATTTATATATGTATGTGAATAGACTCATTATTAACTAGGACTTGAACTGGATTCGCGTTAGGTTGAGATATATTGCGAGAGCCGTCGTATGTAATTGCTCTCTATCATCGCCATGGCGTTTGACTCTTAAGCATGAGAGAAGTATAGATTCTTTTCTTAATTAGTAATTACTTTGATTTGTTCGGCAGAATCTTCGGAATCTTTAAACCGACATGTTGAGTAATTATGTAATTAATAGTTAGAGGGTTATATTTTTAATATTTATATCATTGCTACTTGTATTTATTTTGTATTGATTATGGTTGAACACAAAGTAAATTCGAAGGCCTTCGTATGTTTTCAAACAAAATGATTTATTATATATATATTTATTTATTGAAATTATTATTTTTGTCAAACAAATGTTTTATTATAATCAAGTCAGAAATAATCAAAGGTACCAAGATAAATATATTAATTAAGTAATCGGATTGATGGCTTTATTTATCTGATAACTAATTATGCATGGAGGGGTCAAAGTGCAACATTGACTTAGATGTTATTTATTATTTAATTGGAGTTCAATTAATTTCTTTTAGTGGAGTAGAAATTAATTTATAAATTAATTGAATTGGGTTCATGAATTAGACCAATTATTAATTCATTGTAATAAAGAAAATAATAAGCCCAAAGTATTCTCACTCATAGCCCAACTTAATATTTGAATCCTATTAGATTTGAGATATGTGAATTAGAGATTGAGAAGGATTTATTATTTCATTTCCTTATCTTTATGTTGCCTATATATACATGGGTCCATGTATATTTTAAGGGAGACTTTTGGAAGAAAAATGAATATATTTTTTCTCTCTAATTTTAGGGTTTGTGTTCTCATCTAATGGAGGCTCTCACAAGTCTAACTTTCCAAGGTCATTTATGGAGGCTTATGGGTGATTCCTAAAGACAAGATCATTACCAAGAAGATGAAGATTCAAGAATGAGGCATCTAGGAAAGGAATCTACAATAAGTGAGAACATTCACTTTAGAGGAAAAATTAAAGGTTTATTCAAACTTTTGATGTAAGTATTCAATCTTTTAATTGAATGATACATCATATTTTATTTTTGCATAAAACTTGTCTATATGTGATGATCAAGATCTATGTATGAAAATCCCTCAAAAAGTTTTTAAAACTTGCACGTTTCCCAATAGTGATATCAGAGTATGGTTTGATTCATTACTAAAGATCATGTTTTTTTTTTTTTTTTATTATCAAAATCATCATTCATAGATCCAAATTATATATGAATATATATATTGATGTATGTTGATATATGATTTAATATGTTGATATATATTGATACATGATGATGTATGTATAATTGTGAATGAATGATGATGTATGTTTGGATCATGGATGAAGCTTATAGGTTAATTGAATGCAATTTTATTTTTGGTTGAATGTAATTAAAGCTTTGATTTAACCATTTGAAAGTTCAATGATGTAATTTAATTTTTTCCATTATATTTTAAATTATAAAATTTATTTAAAATCATGTAATCTTCATCAAATGATACTATGAAGCTTCAAGAAGGTCCAAAAAATTAGGCTTCATCAATTTTCTGGAATTTTTCTGTAATTTTTTAGGCTTAATTTAATTTTCTGCAATTTCCAGCGTTTTTCTGGCGGCGTGGGCAGCGCTGGAGGAGGACATAAGATTCGGTGCGACGCGGTACACAAGCGTACTGTGTAAGCAGATCCACAGCCACTGGATCAAATCAAGATCATGGGTCCGGATCAGGTGCAGTGCCTTCTAGGCGTGTGCCACGCGCTGCTGCACCCCCCAGGCGCCTGCCAGCGCGTGCGGGGTCTTCCGGGCGCGTTCTAAGGGCTGTTTTGCTTCTCCTAGCGCGTACTATCTCCCTACAGGTGTTTACAAGCCATTGGTGGAAGACCGTACAGCAAGAATAGTATTTAAATGTTAAAAATTGATTCCATTAGCCATTTAATTTGTTTTTGTCTGTTATTTAATTATTTATGTGATGCATAGAATAATTAATTGCTGATTATTTTTGCTCATGCATTGAATCCATGATTTTTTTTTTTTTATCTAAATGACTTGATTTATTTTAATTAAATTATAAAAATTAATTGGATTTGATTACTAATTAATTAGATGGCACTGATTGGGAAATAAAAAATTATTTTTGTAAATTATTTTTAAAGTGTGCCTTAAATTAAATATTAGTGAATCATTTAAAAGTTCAAATATTTTCTAAATTTAATTGGATTAAAATTAAGGCGTTTTGCATGCATTAAATCATGAATTGAAAATCCTAATTATAAATAATTAAAAATTGAGTAGGAGCGGGAATTTTTATATACAATACCACATGACTTTTGTTATTATAACCATTGTAATTAGATCTTAAAAAATAAGGCTCCACGTATGATTTGAAAAGTCTAAAAATTACAAGAATAGTTGTCTCATGAAAATAAAAAATATTAAATGTTCATTGTAATTAGATCTTTAAAAATAAGGCCCCACGCAGGATTTAAAGAGTCTAGATTATAATGACAAGATATTTAATGTTTTATTTTTCGTTGGAACATTAATAACGTTATACACTCAATCTAAAATAAATAGTGTTAGCTCCCTAACGGAGTGGTCTACACTAGGTAATTTAAAAAAGACTAAACATAATCGGGAATCATTTCATATAGATAGATAAGGCATTGTCTTAAGAGATATAGAAATGATGGGATTTACCCGCCAATCGCAATAATGAACTTCGCCAACCAAATAAGTTATTGGTGTATTGGTTATTCGATTTTTCATGCGCAGTGGTTAATGAACCCATAGATATTTTAATGGAAATGCTCACCTAATAGCAAATAAAACTCAACAATAGTAATAATGAACTCCTCCATCAGGATAAGTTATTGACGTATTGATTGTGTGATTTATTATGCTATGAAGTTGAGGGACCCACATTAATTAAAATGGATTGTTCAC